TATATATATATTTGTCACGAAAACCGATATAAAAATAATAGATTTGAAATTATACAAATTTAAATAATACACGTCAATTATTAAAAAAAATAACAGAGAAATGCTTTTTTTCGAAATTTCCCCCATGGCGACTTGCGTTTTGTTAATTGTACGAACCAGCAACAACATAGCACAAAACTTCATTGAAAAATTTAAATTGTCACGTGACTTCCAGTTGGCCCATTCCATGATGCGTGGAAGGGTTGAAAGAGAAGTTGAGATGACCTTTTGACAAGCTGCGATTTGCAACAAAAAAAAAACCGAACCGAATATGTCGTAAAATTTGTGCAGTCGCGTTCTGAAAGGTTGAGTATGTATACATAAAATTTTGCAAGCACACAAAATGTAATATAAAATCGTCCGTGCAATGTATTTGATGTTCTACAAATGCTTCTAATGAAGTATTTTCTATTTATTTTTTTAAATTCTTATAAGTGTGTGTTGAAATTCAAAAAAAAATATATATGCTTGTCACCAATTTCAATTTTAGTTGATATTGCAATTTTAGTTTGAAATAAGGTAGTTTCTAGTGTGAAAGTACATTGTTCACAGCCATTTCTTTTTTCTTTTTAGCATTCCTCATGCATAAAATGATGCTACGGTCGAAACAAACAAAGAAGGTACCGTAATAAGTTTATTTTAAACAATTTACATATAAGAAAAATTGAAATGTTGAGATTTCTGTGTCAAGTTTGACGTTAAGGTTGCTTGAGATAATTATGTGGAGTTAGTTTTCTATGCTAAAATAATGTATTGCATTGTCTCATGTACAATGCGCAAAAAAAAAAAAGGATTACTCTGAATAAATTTTGATCTTATTGGATATTCAAGTTTTAGTACTCAATCTTAATGGCTCAAAGGGGTGATTTCAAATATGCTAATTAATAAGTGCAGATGATACTTTGAGTTACGAAATCAGTCAGAAAAACATACTTTCTCTGAATAAATGAGATTATTTCTTTCGCTTGAATATTGATTATTGGTTCCCAATGTGTTCATTTTTTTCCAACTTTATTTTTGATCAGAATTCTAAAAATGTATATTAAGGATGGTTATAATGGAATATATTTGTGAAGTTGAATAGTTACAAATGATTGCTTCGTAAAATTATAGATCTGAATAATTTCAAAATGTATATCCTGCAATTGATTAAAACAGGGCTCTCTCGGTCCTTGAAAAATCTTGGTAGTGGTAGTAAAATGAGGTTAATTCTAAAAGATATTTCTTATTTTAATTTACCATTTTGTCGTTAAGCGGTTTAGAAGCTGGAATTTCCATGTCTATATACACTCATGGGCAAAAAAATTAGCGCACCTAGAAGGAGTCGTCAAAATGAAACAAAATTTTACATACTTAATGACTACTTTGGTATAAGTAAATGATTAGAAAATTAAAGAAGTAGGATAATTTGAGGCGAATGCACGATACGATACGATCGGGCATTGAGGCATACAAGTTCTGTATGATGTCTTGAGACATTTCGTTCCATATTTGTCGTAACCTTGCCTCTAGTTCATTCAAACTCGAGGGATGCCCAACTCGCAATCCCAAATAACCCCAGATATTCCCAATTGGGGACAAATCTGGGGATCGGGCAGGCCAAGGAAGGGTAGTAACAGTACGGAGAAAGTCTTGTGCCACTCTTGCCGTATGAGGCCGAGCATGGTCTTGCTGAAAAAAGGCTGGTCCTGGACATAAAAATTCCTGGACATACCACCGAGCTTTCATGGTGCCACGGAATAATACTAGGGGCCCCTGTGTCTTCTCGAACCATACGAAGGCGCCTGGCTGAAAGACAGTTGGTATCGCAGCTCCCATTACGTGTGCTGCTCATGACGCCCACCTATCGACACCTCCGTTTGGAGTTTTGTTGCGCACGAGGAAACTGAATTGCAGTGGAATGGAACCAGGTCGTCTTTAGCGACGAATCCAGATTCAATCTCAGCTGTGACAACAATCGTGTTCGTGTGTGGAGACCCGTGGTGAAAGTCTCAATCCTGCCTTTGCTGTACAGCGAGATACCGCTCCCACAGCTGGCGTGATGGCATGGGGTGCCATTGCCTACAATACACGGTCACCCCTAGCATTGTTCCGTGGCACCATGACAGCCCAGTGGTATGTCCATGAAATCCTGCAGGCACATGTGTTGCCTCTGATGCAACGGCTCCCAGGAGCCATTTTTCAACAAGACAATGCTCTGCCTCATACAGCAAGGGCGTCAAAAGACTGTCTCCGTACTGTTACTACTCTTCCTTGGCCTGCCCGATCCCCAAATTTTTCTCCAATCGAGATAATCTGGGATCATTTGGGACGGCTAATTAGGCACTCCACGAGTTTGAATAAACTGGAGGCAAGGTTGTAGCAAATATGTAACAAAATGTCTAAAGACATCATACAGAATTTGTATACATCAATGCCCGATCGTATCGTATCGTGCATTCGTGCTAGAGGGGGTCCAACGGGGTATTAACTCCTCTGTTCTTTTGCCTTTTTCTCTGAAATAAATTATCCTTTTTCGCTGATTTTCTAATCATTTACTTATATCAAAGAAGTCATTACGTATGTAAAATTTTGTTTCATTTTGATGACTCCTCCTTGGTGCGCTAATTGTTTTGTCCATGAGTGTACTTTCTTTGGTAAATAACTTTTAGTGATGGTTACACAAAAATTAATTAATTATCGAAATATGTTTAATTTATGCTGCCACTTTTTTAAATTTACGAGTCTCACAGGATCCCTGTTAAAATGAAAGCATTTATTTTTGTGCAAAAAGTTCTTGAACAAAAATGTTCAGAGAAATTCTGAATACATATGTATACTTTGGGGTCGAATAGAGTGTATATAATGACATTTGAGTAGCGAGCATTAACATTCGAGTGCCGAATTCAGAGAAACTAAGTTTTCTCATTCAGTAGTAAGAAGCTGTAAGTAAGTATTGAACCCAATAATCCTAAAATGGTATTTCTTCGGAAGCAAATGATATCCATTCCCGAGAGCACAAATTCTGGAGTATCGTACAGTGTACGATCCACATTTCCGACATTAATTTCTTTCAGAGACCTGGCTTCCATCTTTTCGTAAAAAGCCTTCCGAAGTTTTCCAATGTCAATGGGAACTTGACCAACCTTAAACAAAATGGCCATCAATGCTCCCACTGAGGTGACCATAAAGTTGGCCGTATCTATGTCATACATTAGGGTGTTACTCATGGATAAGTAACTTCCGATTGTGGAGAAAGTCATCCAGAAAAAAGTATTAAACACAAAGAATATGGGTACTGAGAATGTAGCCTGAATTTCCTCCAAATGCCTGAAAATTGCAGATCGTTTGGCAGCAAAATCCTTCTGCAAGTATCGGTCGAGCATTTCCGGAAGTGTGGCATTAATGTCTTTAGTCAATTTGTCAAGATTACGACAGATCTTGTGGCAAATGATTAAGTAAGCAAGGGCTATAAAATTGCATGCATTGTATAGAAGCGATTGCGGCCAACGTGATAAAAAAACGACTCCGTATTGCACCGCTGTATTCTTGAATACGTATCCAAATGTGAAAAAGTTTGTATCTTCAGCTCCATATGAGAAGAACATCGGAGAAATAACGTAATATGCAGGCAGGGCATTTAAGCAAGCCGTCATGAGCGTGATGTGTCTGCTTTTCAGATAAGAGTGCATCGATTTTGTCGTGAGAAGCCTCGTCAGTTGAGTGCTTTTCAAATTCATTGTCACCAAAGCAATTACGTTCGTAATGTTACTAAAACTGTAGATGATGCTTACTTTTACTTCTTTGGCTTCGATGACAACGTAAACTCCCAAAGCTATATAATTTACGAAAGCCAAAAATAGTGTGGCCCGAACTGTATATAAAACGCACACATGCCATTTTGAAGGTTTCAGTCGAACCATACCTAAATATCCAAAAATGTAATAAATGAAGCATTTTGTATTAGATGATCTTTTAGTTTGATAAATGTACATTGTTCTGAATCTAATGGGCCGAATAGTTTTAGAATATGATGCTGACTTTAAATGACGATGAATTGGAATGAAATCTCTGATTTCTGAAGAAAAAAAAGTATTGTCAAAATATAAAATCATTTAAGAGTTTAATAAAAACCAATTCAGAGAATTTGAGCAATCGATTAGAAAAAGCTTTTGAAACGTCAAAACGATTTCTTGGAGATAAATTAATTCTTGGAGATAAATAGATTCATAAATTGTAATATTTATCATTACTCTCCGTTCTTTGTCAATTTATATGTTTCGTGTCTTAAAATGATTTCTCCCTAAAGAAAATCAATACAAAGACAAAAATCATAGAGAATGTAGTACTTTAAGAAAATAATATCGAAAAAACAAATTTTGTGAACAATTATCACTGTGTATGTGTGTTCAATTAAGAAATTGATTTATATAATAACAAAATTATACATTTCATTTTTTAAGTTTTATCAATTAAATAATTGAGATTTCTGGAAATCGATGTAAACACAAGTTTTGACATCGACTATTAAACTCCTGTTTGTGAAAATTGCAACACCATGAAGGAATCGTCATAATTGAATGAAATTTCATACACACTTGAGTGGTAGTGGTACAGATAAATGATTAAACTTTCAAAGCAAACAAACAATAATAAGAGATCGAAATCAGTATTTTGTGTAGTCACCACGCACCGTAATAAGTGCTGCTACACGACGTGGCATGGAGTCATGCAAACTTTGAATGTCTGTTTGAGGAAGAGAATTCCATACTGTTTGTATGCGTACCCAAAGTTCGTCTGTAGAAGCAACAGGACGAGGATTACGAGCGAGACGCCGACCAACGAAATCCCACACATGTTCAATCGGCGACATATCCGGGAAATACGCCGGCCAAGGAAGAAGTTGTACCTGTCGCGATGCAAGGAAGGATTGAACAGTCCTAGCAATATGAAGGCGGGCATTGTACTGTTGAAATACAGCGCCTGGCAAGGCTTGAAGGAAGGGAACAGCTTGGGCTGCAGAACTTCACTGATGTACCTGTTGCTGTTCAGATTACCCACAATTCGTAGCAATCGAGATCGTCCATGATATGCTATGTCACCGCAGACCATAACCCCGGGTGTTCTTCCACTGTGGCGTTCGATAACGCACTCCGGAAGATGGCGTTCACCGGCATAGCGTCTGACACGAATGCGGCCACCATGGTACCACAAATTTAAACGAGATTGGTCAGAAAACACGACACGCTGCCAATCAACAAGCCAGTTCCTATGCTGGTTGGCCCCGTATGCTGGTTGGCTAGAGGGAGCCGTACGGTCCGTTAGCGCAACGCTGAACAGGTGTCTATCATCGCGAGCTGACGTGACATTTCAGGATCCACTCTCGGATTTCCGAGTTGTCCGACACTCGTCCATCCACTGCTTTCAAACACGCATCACTGTGCTGCTGTTTCGCTGCACACGAGCGGCTACTGCTCGATAAGATAATCCAGCTTCTCGAAGGCCGATGATTCTCTCCCGTTTAAATTCCGTAAGTTGTTGAAATCTCGTTCTCTTTCGTCGAATAGGCATAAGTAATGACTAAGCTAACATTTACCACTAGCAGATAACCACCGATAACCATACTCGCTTGGCTACAGCCGTCTATTTATTCGGATCCATCCGCCGTTCAGAGGGCGCTGCTCAGCATACGCATGCGCTACGGGTCTGAAATTCTAATC